AGATCGGCCAGCAATCGGAATCAATGAGCGCAGCTGAGCGCGATCACCCGCCAACAGCTGTTCAACAAAAAACGAGTAAACAACTGGTTAATTCCAGCCGAAAGCTCGCTAAACGCCGCTAAAAACTCCCAAAAGCACGGCAGCTCATGTCATATGATCGACGCGACTTTCGGGTGAGTCAAGTCGTAGTTGGATGAATTTTATAGCGGCGGCTTTCAGTTTATAAACGAGCGTCACATTGTACGGTTGGGAAAGTGTGTGCTGTCGCATGTTAAGGTCTTTCAAAAACGGTGTTTATTTTTCGCCAAATGACAGCCACGGTGGTGGCAACAACAGCAAAGCACTATCGTTAAACAATTCAAGCTAATAAAATAAAATTGACGCTGTTGCAACGCGCGCGCGATCGTATGTATGTATGTATGTATGTGGCAAACTGCATATTTCCGCTTATTTGTTTTGCATGAATGTACATACGTTACAGTAAATTAAAATTAGCACAGCTCCTCGCTGGGCGTAAGATGAGGTGCGATTGAAGTTGGTCTTTTACTTAATTTTGTTTTCTAAATACGAAACGAACAATGCGAGTAAACATTGCAAATAACCTAAACAGAAATTAAATATAAATAAATTAAAAAATATCAATAAATTCGCTTTTAATGCTAAATGTGCGATGAAAATAAAAACTCAAGGTGAAACAGTTAAAAAAAAATCTGGAATTCGGACCAAAACAACTGCTCAGAGCAAAAACACAAAAAAAAAAGTGCAATGAAAATTATCTGAGGCAATAAGCAAAGGGGCGTGGAGGGCGTGGCGAGCGTAATTTGTGTACGCGCATCAGTTGTAGCCGTTGCTTTTGTTGTACGCACACAATTTGCGCTGCCTTTTTAACCCATTTATTGCAGCAACTGTTGCAAATTGCAAGTTGCAAAACGCAGACAAAAATGCAAATATTTACGCAGCATAGTGTGGGCTTACATTTAAAGCGTACTTTTATCGAAGTACTTACTTAAAAAAAAAGTATTAACAAGAGGGGATTTTACCTAAAATGTCACTACTTCGCGAAGAATTTTAAATAAATTTACCTTAAATTAGCGATTATTTTATTTTAGCTTTCATTTATGTAAGTTTCAAGTATTGATGAAATACAAATGCAAATTTACTTAAAATTAGCTTATATTTTTAGCGCAGACGTTATGTTTTTAATGCGAAAAAACCTCAGCAAAAATACCTGACTTTGACGTAGAGAGTTAAAAATACGAGTGCATACGTTACAACTATTTTCACTTACAGCAGCAGTAAATGACAACTTCATGCATACATACATTTGTATAACGACAGCAGTGTGTGTGTGTGTGTGTGAAGGGTGTGTTCTTCGCGTAAAAAGTCAGTACAACGAAAGTATGTACGTAATACAAAAACATCCGCATTAAAAAGCGAAAACAGTCGGTAACTCAAATCTTTGCTGAATAAAAAGAATGTACAAAATATTAAAAAAAAAAACACGAAGAAATTATACTTCGTAGTGTTGCCAACTACAAAGTTTTTTAATCATTAAGTCAATCGAACACCACAACAANGAGTGTGATTTTTTTTTTTTGTTGTTGCTTTATCTTTGCATCATTATATACGGCTGGAATAAGTGCATTTATTATACATATGTAAGCAAACGCTGGCGACGACGAGTCATATTACCAGCTGAGTCGCTCTACAGCTAGCCAGGCAGGCAACCGCACGCCAAAGCAATTGCACCTGACTGTTGGCTAAGGCTATAAGATAGAAATAAATTCAAGCAGCAGCAACAAAAAAAAAAAAACAAAGTCAAACGAGTATTTAATTTTGGACTACTTGAATTGCTGTGCTGTGGCGAAACAAAAGCGTCATACGGCGTTAAGCTGTTTTCGAATCTTCTGTTTTTGAATATGGTGAGTACTTACTATTTATGGTCATTTCTGTAGTTTCATGTATGGATAGCCCTTAAAAGCCAGACTTATATGCACTACATACAACACTGTGACCTTGAAAGTCTTAAATCACCGAGTTGCACACTTTCTCATCGACATAAGTAACTCGGTGAGAGGCAATCTTGAAAGTAAATCAAGAGACATTTATGCTATAAGGCCTTTACAGAAAGGCTTTAGGTACCTACTGCAAAACTAATGCCGAATTTCCACTAGGCATTGAAATGACAAAAAATGGTTTTAATGCCCAACTTTGTCATTAAAATTTTTGCCATTAAATACCTGGTGGAAATCCCGCATAAGACTACATACATATTTATCAACTATCTGATGTAGTCTATTGGGCAACCAATATTTCTGTGCAACTTAACCTATGTATTTATATGTGGGAAATCGCAATAAGAGTCCTCTGGCTTTATAAGAAAATGGCATACAATTCTAAATAAATTTCTACACCAATGGAATTTCGCATTTTGTTGGCCAATTCTCAAGACATGACACAATTTTATTTGCACAACTTTTCAGCACAACGATCTCAGCGACAGCTTAATTTAAAGTTGCTCACAGCGCAGTAGCCCGATGCTTGACGACCCACTGAACGTCGAGTTGATTGTGCGCTGATTTGTGTGCTTATTTCCACAATTTAAATTAAGCATTACTAATGTTGCACTTAATCAAAGCAACAGCGTCAGCAATCCAAGTGCATCGCCAACTGAAAATTACTTTAACAACAACTAATACGGGTATTCAGCGGCGCACAGTGTGGAAAATTTACTTTTTTTTGTGATGAAATGTTATATCTCAAGAACGAGAACGGGTAGCGAAATAAATGTAAGCGCATTTCAAAGCTTTTAAGATGTAGAATTCAAGAAAAATTACAGTTTTTTTTTTTAAGTTGTAAAAGTAAAATTGTTTACATGTGAAGAAACTGGAAAAAAATTTAAGATGCGTGTTTCCGTTTTTATTTTTTTTAGCTCTTTGCATATCTACATACTTTAGGTCAAAAACTAAAAAATACTACTATTTTTGAAGTAAATTTTAAAGACTATATTTTCTGAATTCCTCACCACAAAAGTTTGACTTAGTAATTGATTTTGTCCAAAAAAAAGTGAATTTTCTACACTGTGTGGCGGCAAATCACATGAAACTCAACTATCAACCCATAATTATGTACCAATGAGGCGGCGCGGGTAGGGGCGAAGTGGGATGGCTAATAGCTAGTTGGGTGGTTGGGTAGCGTGCCAGTAGCAAATTTTCCAAATTGCAGATGCATTTAAGCGCCGCCCCAAACCCCACTTTTTGTTGAATTTCGCGCAGCTGCCATTTGCTTTTCCACAAGTGCTATTTGCTATTTGCTATTCTTCGTCTGACAATTGACAACTGGCAACACTAAAACGTATTATTATGCGAATTTTATGTCACACGTGACAGTCAGGACACGCATACTTATGCACATTTACATATGTACATATAAGCATTCAAAAGAGGAGGGTTGCTGCGCGCGAGTATGAAAGTTTTCAAAGAGGCTCAGCTCAGCCCGTGATTCGATTTGCTTGAGAACTGGCACTATCGAAGTTCTGCGCTACCTAGGCTACAAAGGCAACAACTGCGCAATTTTCCTTTGTCTACGAACAAAAGTTGCCCCATTTTCTAGATTTTGTTGTCGCACGAAGGTAAATTAACGCGCATGTATTTGTTTTGCAAGCAGCTAACTGCCGAGCGCCTTAAGGTTGACCTCCTAGGTATGTGTTTTTGGTTTGAGGAATGACAAAAGCCGAGCAGCTGCGGCAACAGTTTCACGAGCTAAGCAGGATGTCGCTGGGGATTTGTGTGCTTCCATACACAGAATTATGATTTTTTTATAGTCATTCCTTTCTTTGCTGACTCTGAAGGCTTTGTATAAATCACCAAACCGAAAAATTGGGCATGCGCGCCCGAAAAATTGTATTCAATTTCCAAATGCGCACCAGCAAAAAGAACGAAAATTAAAAACTTTTGTACTTTAAGAGTATTCAATTGCTGTGGAATTTTTTGTGCATTTGTCACTTGTCGCGAACAATGAATTGAGCTTTCAATGGAGCTCTGCACGCTGCACCGCCCATTCCTTTATCCCAAAGAGTGCATTTTATGGCGGCTGCAATCGCCGAAAATTTCTGGCTGCCACATAAACTTGACAAACACCACAAATGTACATAATTTTGTATTTATCGGCGATAAATAACACGAAAATTCAGCAGCGCTGCAGCGAACTTGCAGTCTTGCAGCGGGCGCGGTCGCCATTGTTGCAGCGCGCGCCCATCGAATACAATGCATATTTGTATGTACATAGCTCGAAATTGTGTGGCTACTTGAACCTGCTAGCCGTTCGTGTTCACTGGCGTAGTGATCGCGGTCCTAGCTGAAGCTGTTTCTGTGCTTGCGCGCGCTGGACCTGATCTTGTGCGGCTGCGCATGCGCGGTGATTGCACGTTCCAGAGACATATGGTATGGTTTGTTAGAGCTTAAGCGCTAAATAACAATAAACCAAGCAGAAATTGCAAAAATGCAGCCGAATAAAATGGAAATAAATTAGTTGTGTATTTGCGAGTGAAACGCGGCGACGAAGCGAATTAATGCACTTTTTGATTGCTTTTAAATTTTTTTTTTTCGAGTTTATTCGCAGAAAACCGCTGTAAATGGCTGCTGTAAACTTAAATTGCAATGTTGTTGTTTTGTTGTTGTGTCAGTTGCCTTGAAAAGTGCTGGCCTCAGCTTGTTGTTGCTACTATAATATATGTATTACTATGGCTGCCGTTATATGATTCGTTTTATATGTACATATGTTTGCAGTTTCAATGTGGAATTTCTGCTTTTTTGCATTTTCAATTCATCCAATTCTGCACATTTTTTAACACAGCAGCCAACTGAAAAGTTGAATGCAAATTACGTTGCTGCAGCCAGCCGCGTATAAGAAAAATAAAAAAATAACAGTAGCTTGTTTACCGTTTCTTTAACAAATGAATGAGCCAGCAACTTTAAGAGACTTAATAAAAATACAAATACAAATAAAAACAAACAAAAAAAACACGTATTTTGTTGGATTGGTATGCAAATACATACATACCACCTTTTGCTAAAGAACGTTTGACCAACTGATCAAATAAACGAATGGCCGCCAGGGCAAACCAAATGAAAAAGTCTGCAGCCAGTCGCCGTACTGCCAAGTTGTCATGTCGTCGAGTTTGTAGCATTTTTTGCACAGCTCGCACTTTTTAGCCCAGCGCGTTTGATATTCAGCGCCCAGCTGGCTGGCTGGCTGGCTGGCTTGCTGGCTGGCTTGCTGACTGCTCGACTGGCCGGCCATTCGAGTGTTGCTGCTGTTGTTGGCACTGCCGCAGCGGTATTTTGCTAAAGCGCAACCATTAAGCGTTAATTGATTGGAAGTGCTTTTAGCGCAGCTTTTCTCATTCTATTTTTCGCAATAGGAAATATGTACATAATGTATGTCTGCACAAACACAGAATGCACAGCTGCACAAACTTATGTATGTAGTAGCTTTTATGCAATCGCTGCTGCAGTTTCCTAAACGACTGGCTGTTTGGCGACAGCTTACTCACTTCGCCGCGTAAATTATCCAGTATCGACACAATCGTTAAATCGGTAATTGCAAATTGGTGGTCAAAAGTAATTTTGCTGATGTTTTCTGCACCTAAGGCAGCCAAGACTGTAAGATTATAGTAATTGCAGCACCCAAAGCAGATACTCGCGAAACAGTGGCAAATGGGACTAAACCGAGTCAGTTCTCACAGTTAAAAATAGTTTATGTATAAGAAGCTATCTACCAATAATGCGAGGAGGCGAAGAGGCGAAAAAGAAATCATAGATATATCTTAAAGATAGACAACATAGCTTTTTGCGTTCTCCAAATATTTTGCAACGTTGCGCCTACTCAGAAGTAAAACAATACATATAGCACGCGCCGGAAATTGCCTAAGAAAAAAAGTTGAACAAAAAATGTAAGGCAAAAAGCTAATTTATTTTCCAGCATTTTATTTCCTTCTCTAAGCACTCATTCGAGCACCAAAAACAGGTGATCGTTTAGACGCCGACTTTTTGTTGTTACTTGCTGGAGGGGCGGCCACAATCGCCAACAGCAGGTCAACGGCAAACAGCAACTACGGAGTTTATACATAGCTGGGGGTAGAAGTTATTCATGTGTTGTTCATGTTTTTGTTGTTGCCTTGCGGCATGCAGGTGTGCCTAGCTAGTAAGTGACCAATGCCACAATCGAAAAAAAAAATAAACAAATCAGAGTGTCACAAAGCAAACTGGTTGGAAAAATGCTGGTTGGGAATTGCTGCAAATAAATGTAAAATTATTGAATTCTAAAAATATGCAGAAATGAAATCAATTTTAATTAAAATCGCAATTAAAAGAAGAATAAAAAAACTAAATTTCATGCTTATTATGCAAAGCAAAAATGCAATTTTTCACACGCCTCAAAGCTATTAATTATTTTATGTTCGAACAGTAGCATACAATTTTATTTTAATTACAGAAAAGCACAATAAAAAGTTCAAGGGCTGAGCAAAACTGTAAATGCTCAGCAGGTTGCACTGAGAGAAAAAAAAAATTAACT